TACGCACCCGCCTGTTATTGTTGGGTTCAGTGGAGGGACAGAAGCACACCCTGCTTATTACTGGGGCTACACATAGTGCCTTTGTCGTAATATTACTGTGTTCTTGCATTTTTATTAACTTGTCACAACAAAAATAACTCTGTTTTGATTACAGCAACCTTAATCCTGACCTTTCTGGTAAGCGTTTTTCTGTATGTAACTGGTAATGTGGCACTGCTAAACTTCCTGGACTTCTATGGAATTTAATTACAAGTTGAAAGTCAAGCTCTGTACCAGCTTGCAAAGCAACAGCCTGCTGCTTTTGTCTTTCTGTCCTCAGTAAGCTATTCTATAAATGCTGCTATAAATACACCTACTTGCTGTCTTTCCTGGCGGCCACCCACAGAGAGTGAGTGCTTGTCTCTCTCCCCTTAGAGGACTTAGTAAATTAGTCCAACTTATTTTCTTCCTTAGCTTTCCCTTTCACCACACAATCAGCTAGAAAGAGTTATTGGTTTAGGCTCTTACATAAACTAAGAGTAAGGCTGAAAGGATTAGGACTGAGCCTGAAAACTGTGATGGTTCAAGGGCTGGTTTTTAAGTACTGCTATTTTCCAACTGGTAATAGTGATACTGGTTTGTGGTGCATTTGAACTGTCGGGTTTGTGGCTCCTGATCCTGTGGTCTCTGATGGGAGTGTTCATCCTTCAATGTCCTGCACTTGCTTAAGGCACTTCAGTGGTAGGTGGGGTTGAGGGTTTGAGTATCCTAAAGCTGAGGAGAGCACTTCTGGAATAGATGTTCAAATTGCTGAACTTAAGCAGGTAGTGAGGATTGCTGTTAGGGCTGGTGTTGAAAGAATGTTTGTGGTTTTTTTCCCCTCCTGCAGGTGTTAGCTGTGCCCTGGTCAGCTCATGGGCAGCCTGAGGTGGATCTTGTGCTCTGGAGAAAGCCTGTCAGTATGTGCTTGTGCTGTTGCTTGATCTAGTTCTTGATTCTTCTTTGGTGATGCTTCAGTTTCAGAGCATCAGGCGAGTCTGGGCTCCCCTGATTTGTGTGACGCAGCAGAGCTCTCGGGAACTAGCTATGAGTGCAAGAAGTCCACTTCAGTGTTTACTTCTCTGGCTGCTGTTTGTTCCCCGCACATCTTTAGCAATGACCGAAGAGCATTTGGTCTGGTGGCTGCCAGCCCTGACTGTGCTGAGTGACCAAGACAGGAGGCATCAGCTGTGAGTTGGTGGCCAGAGAGAGGTAAACCAGTGGGGCTGGCTCAGAGCAGCTGTAGCCCTTCCCAAATATCCCTGTGGGGTCAGCATGGCCCTTGGCCATGTGAGGAGAGAGGTGACTTTGCATCCCCACTCTCAGTCTGATGCTTGCCCTTAAATGATGCAGCTTAGTATCAGAGCACCAGGGTGAACCAGGGGTAGTGAAGGGCTACCAGCATCCCGCTTGGTCCTGTGGAGTGAAACAGGCCGGAAGACACCAGGGTACCCAAGTCTGGTTCCTGACTTCTTCAGCTAGAAGAAAACCAGACTGATGGATGTAGCCAGTCCATAAACTTGCAGGGAATGAGTTGAAACGTGCGGGCAACTGCTCAGGGCGAGGGCTGTGCCAGGCTGTCCCTTGGCTGAGGCTGTTCTGGGGGTTTTAGCTTGAGCCAGACAAGGAGGCAGGAGACTGCTGATGGTCACTGTAATATTTCAAAATAATTTTACTTTAAATTTTATTTATATCTTAAAAATAAACATCAGTATTAAAAGATCAGTAAACAAACCTGTGAAACCAAAGCAGCGAGTACAGGATACATACAGAGCAGTGTACTAGAGAGTGGCTGGGG